CCACCAGCCACCTGAGAGATTCCTCCAGTTTTGAGCAGGACCTGGAGCGGGCCATGGCGCTCTCTGTCCAGGAGCAGCAGGATCTGGAGCGCCGGCGGCAGGAGGAGGAGGAGGCGGCCCTGCGCAGGAGGAGGAGGCGGCGGCCCTGCAGCAGGCGCTCGAGCGCTCCCTGGTGGAGAAGTAAGCGGGAAGGAGCGACCGGACCTCTCCCATCCCAGAGGTGAAGCCTCTGGGCTTGGCTGTCCACGGGGCGCGAGCAGGATCTCCAGCGGGGGACCTGCCCTGAACTGCCACCCGTGGGGGCCGAGGCTGGCGGGGTAGATCCACAGGCGCCTTAAGTGCCCCTCCTGCTTCCGGGAGCATCACACACCAACATCTGTATTCCTTTTACTTGCGGCACAGTTTGGACTGAAAGGGAAAGGCCGCCCGCGGCCGGCCTTTCCTTCCCCCTTCCAGAAAGAGGCAGGCGAACTCGCTGGCCTTGCCCAGAGGGGTGCCCCCCCCCGCCCACACACAGCGCAGGGAAGGGTTTCCCTTCCGACCCACCTCCTGACTCACCAAAGACGACCGGGGCACTCTTTAAATGCAGGGAACGACAGCAATAGTCTGTGAGGGAACCAACTGAGGGTTGTGGGGGGGGGTTGAACTTCTCTCCCTCCTCCTCCCTTCTTTCACTTTGTCATCCAAAGGTCTCTTAGTGTCGTTTGCCTTTCTGGAGCTGCTCTACATCAGCCTTTTCTCGCTGCCCCAAGCCCCCCCCGCCGGGCCCATTGTGGGCAGTTTCTGTGGATAAAAAAAGGGAAATTTGTGTTGCCTTTCCAGCTGTGTACAGTATTTACTTTTTGTGTTTGACTATGTAGAGGTGACGGCACGCCCCACTCCTGCCTAGGGTGTGCCCCTCGCTCTTCTTTCGGATGTCCAGGTAGCCAGACACCACCAGGACTAGCACCTGCCATAAGACTTTGTTTCGCCTGTGTTTCTGTGGCAGCTGAGCCTTAAAGATTTCTCAAGAGTAGACCCCCCCTGAGACGAAGGTGAGGGATGCAGGCTTTACCTGACCAGAACGTGGTTGGGGGAATCTCTTATCCCTTTCCCTCCCCACCCTGAAAAATCTCAGATTACAGGGAGGTTCACCTCCTCAGTCCTGCTCCCCACGAATGTTAGGGGCATGTGCCGGAGGAAGAAAGGGAGCCGAGGTGGGGGCCGGGGTGAGCAAATTCCTTTAATCCTCAGGTTTTATATTTTGCTCCCCTTAAACGTTAGGGTGCAAGGGCCAGCTGTACCTTTTCGAGCCGCACCCGGGCGAGCCATCCGGCCTGACTCAGGAAAGCCTGAAGACTCTTGTGGTCGGCCTGCCCTGCCCTGCGCTGAGAAGCTGGGAAGATCCTCGCCCCTTACTCAAAAGGGGCTTACCCACCTCTTGGGGCAGGGCAAGGCCGGCCAGCCACGGACTTTTCAGGCCGTCCCGGGACAGGCTGTCCGGCTTGCCCAACATCTGCCTTAGACAGCCGTCGCTTTTGCCCCGCGAACCTCCGGGAACATCCCTCCATGTTGGGAGGTAGGGACGGTTCTGGGGTTTTGGGCTCACACCCTCCCAAAGGCCTTTGCCGGGATGGCCAGCTGCCGTCCTCCCGGAAGGGGAGGTCTCGGGGCTGTCCGACAAAGAGAGGTTGGACGTCTGAACGTTTCGGGAAGCCTTTGCTCCTTGTGGCTGTGCGTCACGCAGACGCCGGCTTCGGGAGGCGGGCGCTGCGCCTGCTTGCCAAGGGGGCTCCTGCTCTCCTCGGGGGAAACACAGCTGGCGTGTCAGACGCCTGTTGCACTCGAAAAGGGCTGGCGTTTATAACTGGGGTGGGGGCTGTCAGAGCTCAGTTTCACATGGAAATAAAGAGTCGTGCTCTGTTTTGGGAAGCCCCGATGTTGTGTTTTTTCTTCAGTGCCTGCTGAGTTAAAGGTTGATTAAAAGATTTGACCAGCAGTGGGAGACTCTGGCTTTCTAGATGTGTAGGATTCCAAGTCCCATCATTCTTTTGCCAGCAGCTGTGTTCAACGAGGCAGCTGGGAGCTGAAATCCAAAACACACAGAAAGTTCCTCCATCCTTCGGTTTAACTTCCTCTCTGATATCTACCAGATTTCTCCCTCGGAAGCAACAGATTGAACCGTCCTTTCTCGCCATGTACTTTTGGGCATCTCTGCGGTCTCTCGGCTGCGATTTCCACCCTCCCTGCAGAGCTGGCGCTGAATTCTACCTTAAAAGGTTGTTGTCAGGGTGAGTGACCGTACCACTGCAAGCCACTCTCATTACCGGAAAGACATCAGTCAGTCAGAAAGCCATTCTGTGAAGTTGCATGTTTATTATAATGCAGTCAAGGAGCCAAGACACAAGGCCACCAGCTCTGAAACCGCCTGAACTGCCATGGTGGCGTTTATTGTTTTCATAAAGGTTTTGATCCAAGAGAGGACCAGGCAGAATGGACCCGAAAGGACCTGCATGAAGATCAACACAAAATAAGTTAACAACAGGACAAGATTCATACCTGTTAAATATAAAAATGTACCAGGGAAATATGCTTGAACACTTTTAAAAGTGCAAGAAAAAGAAAACAATGAGGGACGAAATAAAATAGCAGCAATAAATCAAGAGCATAGTTTTTCAGTGGGAAGCCCGTCAGACCGCATCTGTATTATGTCCCTCAGGTGCTGGTTGACGAAGAGAAAACCACGCTTGGCCTTCATTTATTTTTTTAAAAGTTTTTTTCTGTACCATTTCTCAAAATCCCAAAGCATTTTATAAAGAACAAATACAGTAGAAATTCACTGAAATTAAGAAAATAAAATCCATGAACAACAATTCATTAAAACCAGGGTGACTGAGCATGTTAGCAATTTGAGAGAGAAATAAGGAAAATGCATGGTTGAGGGTTAATTTTTTTTTTTAAAGCTTGCATCATGTAAGTTATGGGGTATTTTCTGACCCCCCGTGAGCATTCCAAAGTACTGAGAGTTAAAACAGGAGACCAGGGTTTCTTACATTCCCTGTAAGAATCCCATTAGTCAGAGATGGAAAAACAGAGGCCTCTGAGTGCTACACTTCTGTAAAGGCAGCTTTCTTGCACCCTTTGGGACCCAGGCCATCTCTAGCCGCCTTTTTTAGGACAAAAATCCAGTTGACTTCAGCATCATCCATACTTCCACCCCCATACAGAAACATCCACCCTTTGGGACCCAGGCCATCTCTAGCCTCCTTTTTTAGGACAAAAATCCAAAAATCCAGTTGACTTCAGCATCATCCGTACTTCCACCCCCATACAGAAACATCAAGCAGATTTCTTTAGAATAGGTTTGCTACTCTTTCGGACATCCATTACGGGAGGAAACCACCTCTAACGGATCCAAATATTCATCTCAAACATCCCTAATAAAAAACTATGGGGAGGGCTGGATCACAGCTAGGAGGGAAATACATTAATGTGTTTTACTGCTGACTGTTATTGACCTTCCTCCAAAAGGCAGAAACAGCCCTTGAGACCAGCCACCCAGAAAGAAAGAGGTAACTCAATTTCCACACACACACACCCAGGGCACTGCAAATCTAGAACCTCAGAGAAGACCGGGGGGGGGGGCTGCTTAAGACGCATTTATTAGGTGCCCTTTCCCAGGACAGGGGAGATGCACGGAGAATAGTGAAAAACACAAACCATGCTGGAAGAGGGTTAGTGCACTTTCTCAGTGATCGCACAACAGTGAACGGTTCAAAAGAAAACACCTCTGGTTGATTACAGGAATATACACACAAAAAAACCCAAGCCAGGCAGATGCTCCTGGCTGGGAAGTCTTTCTCCCCCTGGGTGATTCTTGGAAATCTTTAAAGTTTGCAAAGGTTGACACAGCAGCCCACTTTAAATATTTTGCTCCAGTGAGGAGGGGAAAATCATGCAGGATCCTGACCTGCTGAAGCCCCCAGGCAAGAGCAGCTGACAGGATCTGAGCAGGAAAAAAATGATTGTTGCAGCGGAAAGAGAAGCCGGGGTTCCTGGTGCGGGAGCCGCCGGGTGCTGGCGTTCCCATCTGGGTGGTGCACTCGGGAGGGGGTCACGGCGCTGGATCCCCGTCTGGAAGCGGCCCTCCTGAAGACGCGCTGCCCAGGCTACCTCCTGCGGAGGGGCTTGTAAACGCACAGGGCCATCAGAATCATGGCCACGAGGAGAAGGCCGAAGACGGTCCCCATCAGCACTGCAAAGGGGAAGAAAAGAGAGGGGGGGTACTCCGTGGCAGAACTCGGAAAGGACTACAGTTCCCAGAATCCCCCAGCCAGTGTGGGTCTCAACTTTCCCAAGTTCTCTCCTGGGACATTAATACCCTAAATGAAGGTGGGGAAAGTTTCCCGGTCGCTACTGTGGGCCGATCTGGGGTCCAGCGGCTTCCAACTTCGGGTGACCCTATGAATGAAGGGCCCCCAGAAGGTCCGAGCCCCCCCCGCCCCCGACAGCCTTGGGGCTGGCAGGATTTGGGGGCTCCCAGCAAGAAAGAGCCGTAGGTCTGGGCCACCTATTCTAAAAGCCTCCACATCAAATGTTAAAATTTAAAATTATTTTTAATTGTGTTCACAAAAAATATTCTATATATCTGAGATGCCGTGTTCTCCCAGGTGAGGCGTAAGGAGCAAATTCTGGTTATTGCTGGAGGGGATAAAGAGAAGACCCCCCCTCGCCCACCCGCAATGGTTTTCGTGTGGGGGGGGACAGGAATGGGAGGTGGCAGGAAGGGGGGTATGCAGCAGGCCTGAGGCACGGGCGAGAACCCAGGCGTCCGGCAAAATGTACCCCCACCCCACTCCAGGTGGGGGGGGCCGGAGGATCCAGGCCCTCCTTCTCCCCCCCTCCCCCCAGTTTCTAGGCAGCAGACTCGGCAGGGACCCAGGCGTCCGAGGGAGAGGGAGGGGGAGAAAGAGAGGAAGATGCGCGAGGTCTCCCTCCCCTTCCTTAGGGTCGATGGCAATGGCGGGGGGGGGATGAGATGCAGGAGGGACCCAGGCGTCCGAGAAGGAAAGAACCCTCCCCTTCCCCTCCCTCCCGCACAGAAGGAAGGTTGGGAGACTGGACGAAGGGGGGGTCGGGGTGGGGGACGCCCAGGGGC